AGGAGGAGAAGCACATCCCGAAGAGCTCCCAGAGCCCTGATTCCCACATCTTTGCTGCACAACTGGCAGGGGAAGGACAAGGACGTCTTGGCTGGGGGACTGGCTGGGCCCGGTGTGGAAGTGGTTAAAGGGATGGGTCTGAGGGCAACGGCTGCCTTGCCTTGATTTATGGGCTGGCTGAGTTAATTTGCTCTTTTTGTGTGATTAGTTGTTGTTGCTGAGTGGTCATCGTCCACAACTACAAATCTAATTAATGCCGGGATGCCAAGTGTTGTTTTGGTGTTTTCTTGTTTGTTTGTTTGGTTTTGTTTTTTTAATCCCTGGCAAATATTTCTACTGTTTTAATTCTTGAGAACTGATCGTTAATTAGTACAAGTCTGCTAATATCCAGCTGAATGGTTTCTTGGTTTTCATCACTTCCGAATCTGCCTGACGAAGGGAATCAGGAGCTCCGAGCAGCCACCGAGGTGTCTGGTGGGATCAGAGGCTTGCAAGGAGCAATCTGCTTTTTCTTCCTCCTTCCTAATTTTCTGCAAAACCTGGCAAGAGGGGTGAAAAAGCTCCCCGAAAGATCTGCTTTCCCCATCCAGCCGTAATTCCCTGACGGCATTTCCAGCTCGCTCTGTGTTTCGCGGCTCTGGTGCCGTCCCTTTCCACGTTCGTGGCCTCATCAAACCCTTCCTGTACCTTTCCAGCAAGACATAAATTCTGGAGGGTTTGGGCTCGGAGATTTCAAAGTCGTGCTGAAGCACATGGAAATGATTCTGAGGGCTATGGCTATAAAAATAATTATATTGCCGGGGGAAAGAGTGACATGAAATGTCCCCAAAAGAGATCTCAGCGGTGGTTACAGGATCTCTCCCAGCTCTGTAAGAGCCCGCTGTGATCTCCAGGGCTCATTTATCACTGCTACCTATAACTGCAGGAAATAAGCCCCCCAAAAGCACTGTAGGAAGGAATGTGAGGGGAGGTTGCTCAGGAGAAGCGTTTCAGTCTCTCCCTTTGTTTTAATGAGGATGCTTTGAAAATTAGGGCTGCTCTGCAGAGCTGAGCGGTGTGAGTATGACTAATTTGGAGACAAATTAGGTCTACTTAGCCGAAATGTCTGCCTCGATTGTTCCCTTAATGACCCTTCAACGCACATCTCTCCCGATAGGAGTTTCACCGCAGCTCTGCCTCCAGCAGATTAAGTAATAACATGTTTTTACCACTTTTCTAAGCGTTCCTTCGGACCCGATCCAGCATTTTCCCTCCACCATGCGCGTCTCCAGCTCTTTCTGATGGGTAATTCATTTATTTGCGTCTAGCCCCTGGCAGATTTGTCTCTTCGCATGTCTCCTTCTCCGGAGCATTTCCCTTGCACCCTCTTTTTCAAAGATCCCTGAGCCTGAGCGATTTTTGGCTGACTGCAGCGTGCTTGGTGTCTGCTGGGTAACAGATTTATCCTTTCCCAAGGAAAGACACGAACGTAAACAGAGGATCCAAAATGCATTTTGCTGGGTTTTTTAAATGCACTGAGATGAAACCCCCATCCCTCCCCGCCGCTACAAGGCTATTAATGTAAATACCAAACTTTACAATCCTTCCTGTCAAGGAAACTTATTTACATTTTTGAAGGATGCGTATAAAAAAATGGGGCTTTTGGGACAAAAAAGGGCTTCGTTCCAGTGTCACTGCACCCCCAGTTAACTGTGCTGCTCTCAGACACTATAGAATTAGGTTTTGTTCCCAGGGCCAGCAGAGATAACATCTGTTTGCTCCTTTAAGGAGAAAATGAAATAGGATGCTGGTGTTTTATACTGGAAACAGCCCTGCAAATCTGAAGGGGTGATGGGATGAGGGCTCTAGATTGAACACACTCGTTAAAAGCGGCTTCTCCAGCATGGAAAAGGTGGGAAAAGCAGTTCCCAGCCCCAGTGCCAGCCCAGGGGAGGCAAAGGGCTCGTCCCCAGTGAGTGGGAAGGAGCAGCAGACTGGTCTTACTGGTGCGGGGCGCAGGGCTGTGTTGCTGTGCTGCTGGTCCTGCCATCCCGGCTGGACTGGTTTTTCCCCTACTAAAAGAAGTATCAGGAAACATACTTTTTTTCCTGATTTGGATTTGTTCTTTTCAGTTTAGAGCCTGTGGAACAGTTTGAAAGCAAAAGGGAAGGGTGGCTGCGTGGGGAATGGCGCAGGTGCTGGCGGTGAGGATAGGGAGATTTTTGGGGGAATGAAGGCTCGGCTGAAACATCCCACTGCAGTCCTAGAGGTGCAAAATCTGCGCCTGTTTCTCCTGCAGCTCCCGGAGTCAGTTGTCTGGAATTCCATGGAGCAGAACAGGAAAAGCTCTCGTGGCCAGGGGAGCGAGCAGCAGTGACCTGCTGACGTTTGCAGGGGCCAGGTGGCATTTTCCCAGTTCCCAAGGCTCTGATTTTCTAATCAAACAGCTCCTCTGATTTTTGTCTTGCTTGCAGCCAGAGGGGAATGAGCCTCCCTCCAAGGAGAAAACCTTTCCTTGCTTGTCTCTCCCCAAAACCTCAGGAAAAGGGAGGATGGCAGCCCAGCCTGAGCGGCACTCACCCCACGTTTGGAGTTCTTACTCCCTAGGAAAGGCAGGCGCTGATCCCAAACCCACACAGCAATTTCTTATGGATTTTTTGTCCATTGGGGCAGCACAGGCTGCTCCCCTCTTACCCATAAAAAGTCCCACCACCCAACTAAACTTGCCTGTTTTCAAGGGTTTCTTGAGGACCTCGTTGTAGTTTTATTTTTTATTTTCTGGCAGCTGTAATTTCTGTCGCCATAAACGATAGAATTTGACACCGCACCGCACCAGGCCATTTGTCAACAACCTTTTCAACAGTCCAACCACACGCGTGTTCCTGCACAGCACAGGCACAGGGAAAGGGGGAAAGTTTGGGATCTTCCTCTGCAAGAGCCACCTCGGAGCACTGGGTTGGAGCTTGGGTTACGGCAAAGGAGCCGAATTCCGATTTATTCCAAATCAAACCAAAACGTGCTGGGGTTTGGTTCAGCATTGTGATTTTTCCGTTATATCCACACATTTTTTTGGGGATAGGGACAATCTGAGCACCTACCTATAAAGTCTGCCTCATCAGAGCAATGTTAATAATAATTTAATCAATGTGGGGTGTAAAACATGGTTTTAAAAAGGCAGGTTTTGCCCCATGTGCGAGGAGGGTTGTGTATAACAGATTTCCAACCATCCTTGGCTAATGGCAACACATCATTTGGGAAACAACAGAATCAATGCATTGTTCCAGCCCAGCACTTTCCTATTCAGCCAATCTAAACTGCTGAAGAAATATGTGTTCGGGACATTTTACATCTGGTTTTGACAAGAAGCCTGGGTTTTTGTGTGTGTGTTGTTTTTTTGTTTTTTTTTTAATCTGTTTGCTGCAGTTTTTTAGCCAGATTAACATGGGAAAAGGCTCTCTCTTGTATAAACGGAGGGTTTCGCTTTTGAAAAACCCACTCAGTTTTGGATTTTTGCAGTTGAAATCAGGGCAGAACATGCAAAATACAAGAACGCCAGCAATGGCCATAAACCCCACAACAGTGTTACCTATTTAAATAAAGCTAAACAACAGGCAGCTCTTGCAATGGGCAGAATAACCAATTTTGAGACTTTTTTCATATTTTGGGGAATCAATAGAAGAGCTTAATTCCAGCACCAAAGTGCAAATTCCAAACCATTTCAGCATGCAAGCGAAACATTTACATCTAAAATGGTTTTAAGTCCATTTTACGCCACTAGTAAGTCCTGGTTTCACATTTTTTTACCTTTTTGAACTGAGGCACTGCAGTTGCATCAAGTTTTTGCCTGGTTCTGTATATTATTTATTCAAAGGGGCCATTCATTGCTGACTGAACAAAGATGGATTTGCCTCTTTAAACAAGCCTGCCCAATGGGCTGGGATAAACTTTCCTCTTCAGCTCTGCACATGATGAAATTATTTCATTTTTACATCATAAGGGTGGCGGAGAAAAATGTGCCTTCAGAGTGTTTGCTTGGTGAAATGGGTTTGTGGGCTCTGTTTTATGTAGGGAGCCCCAGACAGCGCCCAGCCAGACCCATACTTCGGCTGACACTACACAGAGCTGCTCTGCTTAATTAGCTGGAGATGAGGGTGTTATTAAAAGGCTTTTTTTCCCTCCTTTCTGACTGTTTATTCCTCCCTCCCCAAATATTACAAAGGCAGCTGAAGAGGAAGTAGTTTTCTGCTAATGGAAAGTGACGAGGAAGGGTTTGGTGAGGAGAGTAAATAAGAAACTTCGCCTAACACCAGCCGCTGCTTTACTGTCACTTTGAGGAAGGGAAACTGGACAAACCCAAAAATTTAGCAGAGTTTCTCCTATGTCTGTTTGCTTTTTGCTGTGTGAGGCGGAAGGGGCACAGCCCGGGACTGCAGCCGACATCTGCTGCTTGTTTCTTTTAAGAGAAACACAACCTGGGGTGAACCCGTCACCAAGCCCCGCGTGGGTCCTGCCGAACCCCGGCCCCCCAGCTGGGAGGGGATGTGACCACCACGGGGCTCAGCACTGGGGTTTTTGGGGTGCAGACACCTACAGAGTGGAGCAGCAGCTGTTTTGGATCCCCTTGTCAGCCTGTTGTGGCCATCACCTTTTCCTCTCCAAGCCCTTCTCCGAAGCAGCGCTTTCTGGCAAATGTCACACGGTGACGGCTTCCCCTCTGTCCCTCATCACCCAGCTCTCAACACCAGCCCCCTCTTACTCCCCATTCCCACAGAGCAAAAGCATGCTGATTATTAATTCCCTCCCCCACGTCCCAAAATTTGGGAGATATCTCATTTTTGCCTTCCTGGAAGCTCCATTTATTTGAATTTCCTCCGGCACAGGGGGAGCGGGAGAAACTGGATGTGCCTACGCTGCCCTCCAGGTCGGCGACCCCAAACCCATCAGCATCCCCAGCATTCCACAAAGGGCAAAGGGAGGGAAACAGACCCGGAGTATTGTCCAGAAGAGAAATGGGTACCTACCCCTTGGGCTGGCCCGGCCCGGGCGGTGGCTAGTGGGAAGCCGACATGGACCACGCTCCCTCCATCCTCCACACGGAGAAGGCATAACTGAGCCTCTCATGAGCCACGTAACTGCAGCTCGTCATCTTACTGTCCATCTCGTCGCTCTGTAGCACCTGGTAGAGGAAGTCTATGTACCGCGCTGCCAGCTTGAGCGTCTGGATTTTACTCAGTTTGTCAGAGGGCAGCGTGGGGATGATTTTCCTCAGGGCGGCAAAAGCTTCGTTGAGCGACTGAGTCCTCTGCCTCTCTCTGACGTTGGCCAGGATCCTCTGGCTCTGCAGTTCTTCGTAAGATTGGGAGCTGGGACTGGACTTTTTCCCCCTCTTCCCTGGGTTGGGGCTGCCATCTTCACTGGACTTCTTACTGTATCTTCTCTTCCTGCCAAATCTCTTTGGCTGCCTCTCCAGCTCCTCTTCACTGGTCCCCAAGCTATCCACAGGGGAAACAGGAGAACTGGAGCTTTCTTCCATGCTTTCTGCAAGAAGGGGAGGGGAAGAGCCTTTCCCCCCCTCCTTATGTTATGTGAGTGTGTGTGTGTCTTAAATGTGCCTTAAATTCCTGAGACAGATCCTTTGGAAAAACAGGAGGACTCTTTTTTTCTTTTTTTTTTCCTTTTTTTTTTTTTTTTTTTTAAAACAAATTGCCTACAAACTTCTACATTGCTAATGGAGCAGTTTAATTGTTTTTTTTTTTTTTTTTTTTTTTGCTGACCAAACGTTTTCCAGGTTGCTTGAAGGGCTCTTATTTCAAGGACCGAGGTTGTGTAAAAAAAATTGAGGTCTTGGAGAGAGGAAGTTATTCTAACTTTTTGGAAACTTTAGCTGAGCTCAGTTGCTAAATAGTTGTCAGAAGTGAGGGAGGTGCGGGGCTCCCTCCTGATTGGCCGGCCAGGTCGGTGGGAGGAAGGCTTTTCCCCCGCTAAACTTTCACAGTTTTATGTTACACTTAACTAAAATCTTGGGAATGCACCTCGAATCAAAGATAGTTGGCGAACGACCACCCCCCC